GCATTCGGGAGGTGAGTTCAGGACCAAGCCCTGCGGGTCCAAGTGCCTCATAATCATATACGACATGCGTACTATCCTGGCCGAGGAGTTCTGAGAGAGATGCAATGATCTGATCAATTCCTCTCATCGCTGAAGATGATCAACGAACCCATCCCCCGTGGTCGTCACACAACCCCACCCCCTAAAGCTTAGTATCCCTATGCGCAGCACCTCCTTGCTGGGACAAGGGTTGCGTAGGTTTGAGGGTTTGAGGTTGGGCGCAACTGCTGGGGGCCGCACGTCAGGAACCGAACTGTGCATGATCGCGCTCGGGTTGTTGCCTTGCAAACTGTCAAGGCGCCGGGCAGCTATCATCTAGTAGTTCCTGTTTGGGATTACCTTATACGATTCTAAATGAGGCCTATGCATATACCCTCAACCCTAACGTAGGAACCTGAATAAGAAACCCTGGGCCTACAACCCCCAAATAGTAGGATCCATATAAAGAGCCCTAATAAAGACCCAAGGCTTCTAAATCAGGTTCCTACATTAGTCCGCAAACCAGCTATCTTACAGACGAAAACAAACCTACCTTTGATGCTAGATCCTCACACACACACACACACACACATCGGAAGCCGGAATGACCCAACCAAAAATGCCAAGCCCTACCCAGGGAAAGGGCACAGTTGCACTCATAGTCTGTGTCAAGGTTTTGTGGTTCGCGCTGCATCGACGGACCTAGAAAAAGGACACTACAGTAAGAGCCCTGTGCCTGTTCCCTGCGCCTGTTGCAGGGTTTACGTAGAGTGTAGAAACGACTTCATGTCATGTCTCTTAGGTTCTCAGGTGGCCCTCACTACGCCTGCCATCAAGATGTGTAGAGCTGCCCGTCAAGTTTGGGTGCGTGTGGCTCTTGGACAAGTAATTAAGCAAGAGACTGAAGGCTTCAGCACTCTATTGGTTTCAAGAGTCACGGCGTCTTACTTGCAGCTTGATCGCTTTGCGGTTTGGGGATTCAGTGTGCTTGGGTTTGGGGCTTCACTTCGGGCGTGAAATGTTATCCTTTCTACTGACTATTCCGGCCTCAACACTATGACACTTCTTAGCTTAGTGGCTGTTCAACCCACTCTATTCTCGCTACTGCTTGCTGCTCATGGAACCAGCGCCTAGGTTCCGAGCGCCTGAAACCGAAGTCCCTAAACCCTGAACCCTAAAACCCCTAAAGCCAAAACCCTAAAACCGAAGTCCACTTGGCATCCGACCGAAAGCCCAGTCCTCATCGACAGCGCCAGCCACGTGCCTGGCGCAGTGAATAGCTCATAATGTAGGGATCTTAACCCTAGGGCACAAAATGGCCCAAAAGCCTCGTATAATATGGTCTTTAGGCCCAAAGCCTTAAAATATGAGTGCTTCGAGCCTTAGGGTTAAAAAGTAGAATATGGTTTTGGGGTTTATTGCAGTATATTAATAACAAGGAACCCTACAGACAATATTGGTAATCATTTAGGACCCTATACTAAGCTCCAAAAAAGCACCGCTCCCTTTTGAAACCCAGCTGGAGGACAACCCAGCTTGCTGAATGGTTGTTAGAACCGTGTCGTAAGAATCACCTGTACCTTTTCCCTAGGCTTCCAGGGACCTTATTATTGGGTCCTTAAGGGGTCTAGGGCCCTGACTATGAAGTCCTTGTAAGCATTGGGTTTTCACATGTAGTACCGTGAAAGGGGCCTTGTTTAAAATCTGTCACCACGTTTCGGTGAAGGTGTTATACCAGTAAGACGCCAAAGGAGGTATGTCCCCATTTGAATAAGAGGAACTATGGGGTTTTGGCTCAGGGACCATCAGCAGGTCGGGACCAGCAATGCTGAAAGACTCGTCAGGGACCCCACAGGGACCTTTCAACACGAGTCTGCGTCTGCAAAGGATAACTGTTTAGGATTCAGGTCCCTGGAAGAGACGAGATAGGCCATCATCAACATTTGAAGCCTGATGCACTGCGTTGGTCCGCTGCCCACAAGGGCTTAGCGTTTCGGAGCAGAGCAGCAGAATCAGTGGTTTGCACACACTACGTGTACACTATACGACGACGTAGAGCCCTACACCCCGAAGCAATGAATTGCTTGTACCTTATTATAGATCCGCTCTAGAATCCTTATTAGATCCCCTAAAAGCCGTAATTAGAGCGTTCAATAGCGCCAGCTCGGCAAAGTCGGGTGTGGCAGCCAAGCGCCCCCTCCGATGACCGTCACGTTATCCTGGATCCAGACCTGCTCGGGTTGTTTACGGGTTTAGAGCTCACTGTTCGGGTTGATTCGAGGATTAGGCATTGCAGGGTAACGGTTCCATAGGGACTCTATGGGGTGGCTTCGGTTCCAATAAGGATTCCATATAACTTCTGCAGGGCTCGCGGGCTGCACATTGTGGCTTAGGGATTCGGAGTTCGGGGGGTTTGGAGCTCGGGCGACCTTATACAGCCTTTGCTGAGCAAGGTTCATGGAGAAGAACATGTCAAACTATCCCTCGTGAGGGCTTTAGGTCACTACGGTTTAGGATTAGGGCTTACGGGCTTAACTTGGGAATTTAACTGGGTTGTTGTCTTATGCAACTCCCTTAAGTCTTTTCCAAGGCATCTCTATGGAGATTTTTGGCCTAGCCACAGTATCGCTACGTTCTCGAACCTGGGATACATTTATAACATCTATGGAAAGCCAAAAATAACGGCGACACAGGCTTTTGTCAAGGAAATCTCCGTAAAGGGGTAGGATGTATAGTGCGCACGTAATGTATGTTTAGGTGCTCTTCTAGCGCTGAAAGTCCTGAAACCCTTAACCCTAAAGCCCTAACTTCACCCTACACCCTAAATCCTTAACCCTAAACCGCTAAATCCCGAAAGCCTTCAGCCCTAAACCTTCTTCCAGAGGTCTCGACTTCTCTACACCGCGACTCGAAGCTACAGGAGGATTCCCTGCAGAGCTGTGGACCCGTGGATAATAATCCGGGTGTTTGAAGTGTTTTGGGCTGGGGGTCTCGGGTTCGGAGTTTAGGGTTTAGGGTTTAGGGTTTAGGGTTTAGGTTTTAGGGTTTAGGGTTTAGGGTTTAGGGTTTAGGGTTTAGGGGCCTGGCTCAAGGAAGCGGGTCTATCGATCAGGGGCCTACCTTGCACCCCCATTTGTTCAACCCAGACTTCCGTAACTCCTAAACCGTACACAAACCCTATATCCCCTGTACCATCTAGGCCTACAGCCCTAAAGGGCATGGACGATGGCCTGCCATGAAGAGGGATCAACTCGATCCGGCGTGAGGGCCTGGATGCAACGATCACATCTTGCTAAGGTCTTACAAGGGCATGAAAAGAGCCTATAAAGTTTTCTAGCTTGTATGAATTGTGTTTACAGTGTTTCCTGCAAGTGCTTTCGGTACTTCAAAGGGTTCCTACAGGGTCCTGTTGATTCTGACAGGCCTTGATACGTTTTCAGTGAACTTGTACACGGGTCTTGCAGATTTATTGGAACATGAAAGTTTGGTACTATCTATTAGCAAGGACATAGCTGAGGTAACCCCTCCCTGGGCATCAAAATAGCCCAAACGCCTTAAACTTGGGCCCAAAAGCCTTAATATATGAGTCCTTAGATGCCTAGGGCCTGTTGCGGTGCGCATACAAAGTACCACAGTTTTTGAAAGGCTGACATCACAGGGGCGGTGGCATGTGCTGCTCTGTTTTCTTTGGGGTTCAAAATTCTTACAAATATAGACATCATAGGGCCCCTATAGAACCCTTATAGAAACACGGTAGGACCCCAAAGAACCTCTACGGAACCTGATGGTAGCCCATAGCGGAACTCCAAAGCCCCAAACCCTCAGGAGGAACCTTAAACCCTTACTAAACCCTAAACCCGAAAATAGTCCGAACACCTAGACTGACTCGAAATAAACCCGAAGCTTTAACCCGAAACCCTAAACCCGAAATATTTCCCGATATCACCCCAAAGAACCTCTATAGAACCCTCAACGTATCTCCAAAGCCCCAAACCCTCAGGCGGAACCCTAAACCCTCAACCCGCAATATATCCCCAAATCACCTTCGAACAGGGATCCCTTGAGCCCTAAATACACCCAAATCACCTTCAAAAGGGACCGTGAACCCGAGTAATGTATCCCCAAATCACAGAAAGGATGCCATTATGGTATATTCCTTATTATGGGCAATGCAGGATTTCGATCGTCAACCGTATATCCCCAAAATCACCATCAAGAAGGGATCCCCTGAGCTGTCTAAGCGCCCCTGCAAGCTGCCCAGCAGCCCAGGTCCGAGGGGCCTCCTGGAAAAAAGTGTTTCCCTTACCTTTCCCTGAGCATCAAAATAGCCCAAAAGCCTTAAACCGTATGGTCTTTGGGCCCCGAAGCCTTAATATATGAGTCCTTAGATGCTTAGGGTTTTTAGAGATCCTGATTATGATTTCCTTATATATAAGTCCTTGAAAATACAATTTTTTCAGGGTTATCGTAGGGTTTGGAAGATTAGGGGACAGGGTTTGGGGCTTAGGGTCTAGGGTTAAGGGGACAGGTGCTTGGGGTTTAGGGTTTCGAGGTTTAGGGGACAGAGATTTAGGGGCTTGGGTTTAGGGTTTATAGAGGTTTGGAGGTTTACCTTGACCCTGAATAAACTACCTTTTTAGGGATCTTGATTATGATTTCCTCATATACGTCCTTGACAAAATAAGTTATTCAGGGTTAAGGTAGGGTGTAGGGGGTTAGGGGACAGGGATTTAAGGTTTGTTTTTATAGGCTTTTTCGTCTGCTTACGCACCTGAAACCCCGAATTCGAGGGAGCCGGTGTAAAGGGTTTGGGGTTTACGGTTTAGAGGTTCAGGGGGGGGAGTTCCGGGTTTGGGGCTTCGGATTTTGCCAGGCCTCCTACGATTTAACGAGGGCAGGGTGTGGGTTTACCAATACTCGAAGTGTTACGAGATGCCATCGGGCTCATTGTGGGTTCGCTCAATTCTATAAGCCGTAAATCCTTAGACCCCCACCTTCGTGTCCAGCTCGTGATAGATCACCCACCAGCCACGGAAGTTGTTGTAGAAGATCAAGTTCCCTCGGAGCAGGAGGCTTCTCCGCGTATGTGTAAGGTTTAGGCAGGGTGTAGGATTGCACCCCAAATCCGAACCCTACATCTGTACAAGGAACTCAGGGGAGTGGAAGAGAAGGCGATGTGAGGTAGGCTTTGGGTTTCGGGCTCGGACCCTGCAAAGGGTAAGGGGTTTGTCAATCATTGGGGTGTAGTGTTTGCCATGAATTAACCGGAAGCAGTGGGCAAAAAATGCGGAGAAAGCCATAAACCTCTTGTTCACAGCCCCCCTTACAAGGCTCCGTGGCAGAACACTTCGTATTTAAGGTCCTTACGACGCCTTATACATTCTTCGGGTTTAGGGGATTCGGGCTCGGGATTTAGGATTTGTGGGTTTTAGGGGTCAGTTTGAACGATGACAGGGTACCCAAGCAGCAGAGAGGCCTTCATACTTAGACAAACGTGTGGGAGTGGAGGTGACAGTTTCAGACCCGTATAATGGACGCGTGAAGGGGTTGGCTTTGGTGTCTTTTGATGCCTCCACCTCTAACTACCTCTGTTTGTTAATGTGGAGCACCAATACGGGCGGTAAGTAGATACAGTTATAGATACAGGGTTTCAGGCTTGTGTCAACGAATGCTGCCACCACTTTTTGCACACCGCATTGATCACCAGCTGCGTGTGGTGGCGAGAAACCCGTCCAGGAAAGTGGACGCCGTCCTGCAATGCAGATCCAAGGGCACAACCCCCGAGACGCTCAACTATCACAGGAGTTTGCCGGTTGGTGGTAACAGGATAATCTGATCTGCTCGAAATTCTGGTGGGGAGACAACCAAGCAAGCAACTACCTGTTGCAGGAAGTGGGACCAGATGAAAGCATTAACACTGACTCCTGAATGAAGTATACAGCGAGCCACACACATGAGCTGGCAGACCCTGTTTAACTCTGTGCGTCTTCCGGGCAGCGACGCTGCTCCAGAAGACCCCTTCAAGGGGGTCATGGGGTTTCTATAAGCCCCATCGTCGTTCATAATTTCTTGGTTTTACATTTATACTTTACATAGTACGAAAAGAATGGAGAGAGCAGCTCTGTGTTTAGAGCTCAAGCGCAGCCAGAAGAAAACATGCCAAAACCTCGAACGCCAAAACCCCCGGTCCAGGGAATCTTGCGGGTGCTGCAGGCCTGGGCAGAGTAGGTGCTTTGTGCTGAAAACATGCCCAGGGTTTAGGGTCAGAGTCATAAGTCATAAGCTTATAGGGCCGAAGGGTCATATGGGAGTTTCCGAAAATAGGGGACCCTAATATAGTACCCTAAATAGTAGGATCCTTATTCTAAGGACCCCAAAATAAGGTACCCCTAATATTCGGAAACTCCCATATCTGGATGTAGAGTTGTAGGGCTACCGAAGATGAGTCCGACGTACGACCAGCATACACGCCAAGCTCTTAACCTTGACAGCGACTTTGCAGCACCTGAACCCCGTACGGTGGTTAAACTGATCTCAAGAAGCCTCATTAGGTTTGTTTTGTTGTTTCAAGGTTGCACTGAAGCTTCTGGGCGTAGGCTGCGTGGCTAGGACCTCAGAAGAGGGCATTTTGGGCATCCAAACCTGTGGTTAGGTCTAAGCCCAAGTTTCCATGTGCCCATGTAGTACGTAGTTGCATCGACCCTAAAACACCAAAACAACAATCCCTGCGAAGCCAATGTTCAACCTCACATGAACCATTAGTTTGATAGCTGACAGCCCACCTGCAACTGCAAGGGACCTTGTGGCTCTGGGTTTCAGGCCGAAACGCTCACCCAGAAACTCATGAGACCAGAGCTTAGCGCCATAACCTACAAAATGGCACAAGGCTATAAGTTTGTTTATTCAACCGAATAGGCTTTGTGTTTTGTTACAGGTAAGATAGCGTTCGGTACTTCCAGCTTTCAACCTCAGTTCAAATTGCTATAGTTCGGCTTGCAAATTACGGCCATCATACTTGGCTTGGCCTCAGAACCTCAAACACAAGGTCTCAAAACTCTAGTCAGCACCCCACGACTATACCCAAAAATACCCACTATTGAGGCACATAAGGGCTCTACTACACTGTACTCCTAAACCTTCAAGCCCTGACACCCTAAAGAGACCCTGAAAGTAAGTCAGTCCAGAGGAAAACTGACGACACTGGAGACCCCAACATGCTCTCTTCCCCTAACCCTAAGGCTCAAAATGGCCCAAAAGCCTTATATAATAAGGTCTTTAGGCCCAAAAGACTAAAAATATGAGTCCTTAGAGCCTTAGGGTAAGGGTCCACAATCCGAAATAGTATATACTTTGGCCCCAAAGTACCTACATAGGGATTACTTCTACAGAAGAAGCCAGAAAGTTGGAACATGGCTTTAGGAGGATTAGTGCTAGGATCCCTAATACTTTACCTTTAGGGCATGAGGAGTCAAATGTTCCAACTTTTTGGCTTCTACTATAAGGCCAAAGTATATACTACTCGGATACATGGGCCCTCAGGGTGCAGCTCTCTGCCGCCGGGATTCCGCTTGTGAAGGTGTCGATCACCTGGATGCCCGCATTGCGCAGCAGGGGTGCCTCGGTGCTGGGATTCTAGAAGGGTAGAAGGGAGTAGGGTTTACCTTAACCTACCAGAGCCTACTTTTTTGTAGGGTCCCTATAAATTCCATATTAGGGGTTATAATAAGAACCTACAAAAAGGTAGGGTTTGGTAGTTGAAGGTAGGGTTTAATTAGTGCATCCTGTAAGGGTTTTCTGTTTGCTTGATTTTTGAATAGTGGTGTTGTGGATGCAGTACTGCTTGGTTTTTCCAAAGGTTTTACGGGGGTCTGGCGGTTTCGTGTTTCATTGAGGCTTTGGGCTTACTTCGATCTTGCTATGACTTGAGTGACGTGAGGAGTCTCTCGCGGTTTGAGATTTAGCGTCACAGGTTGTCGGGCACCGTAGATGGGTTGTGCACGAATTCGCTCAGGGGTTTGGGGGTCAGGAGTCAAGATTTACTTTAATGATTGACTTAAACATCTTGAATGTTACATCGTGTTACACCTTAATGTGTTGGGCTTTCGGCGGTTGGGGCAGCCTACCGACTACCGAAGTGGCTACGGAAGTTTAGAACCAGCGAAATCTGCTTTTCTCCTGCTTGCCGCAGCTGACCTCGCGTAGAAGGCCTCGTAAGCAGCAGTGGCATCTTCTTTGGAAGCCCCTGCCAATTCGGCTCGCTTCACAAGGTCAGCCTCCCACTCTCGCGCAAAGGCCGCACCATCAGCCCAGGCAAAGGTGTCGGCTGGCATGGATGGAAAGCTCGCTGCAATCCAAGCCGAGAGCTGCTCTTTTGTCCAGACTTTGGGGGGCACCTCCTGCCAAGGCCTGCTACGCCGATGCTGCATCAAAGCAGCTTTCACTAGGTCGCCAGCCAGTGAGAGAGTGTGCAGGGAGTGAGCGATGCTCTTGCTGCTGGGATGTACGTGGGCAAGCCACACCTATACTGAACTTAGAACCATAGCAAAAATTAATATTCTAGCTGTTTCTTAGGGATCATAATGACCAAAAACTAAAAGAATCATTTCTAAGTACCCCTAAGACACGATCTCTTGGTCGCCAGCCTTCGTCAGAACACCTTGGCTGACTTCTGAACCCCTCCAAAAAGGTTAAACTTTTAGCCTCCTTATACTGGTTCATATAGAAACCCAAAAAGTTAAAGTCCTAACGCCAAGACACTCTCCAGGAGCCTGGTAAGTGGTGTCCGGCGCAGAGGTATGTGAGAGGATCCTTCTGCAACGTGTCGCACGCATTCATGTAAGCCTGGCTCTTGTTTTCAAGGACTTACTCTAAGCTACCATAGTAAGGAAACCGTATTAGTTACCATAAATCCATATTATGGGATCTTGAACCGTATTATTTACTATAGATCCATACTATAGGAATGAATTAAACCCCTTAACACGAGCCCAGAAGCAGGCCAAAGACCAGTTTATCGCCTTAGCCTCGCCCAACTGCGCGGATGTGTGGTTTCGTCGGTCGGCGGCTCGCTCCTTACCGTTGGTTAGTAGGGAATGGAGGAATGGGGTACAATTATAACTACTATTACTACGATTCTTCCATTCCCTACTAACCAGCGGTAAGGCTCTGAGCCAGCCAAGTCTGCAAGCAGCACCTCGCAGCGGTCTGTCCTCAGGGTCCACTTGCGAATCGATGCTACTTAACTGTGAGAAGACTAAAATCATGCGTTTGATACCTCCAATGTGTATACCCTTTGGGCTAATCATCGTCAAACTCCTCAGCTATACGCCCTAAGCCATTAAACCCCTAAATCTAACCCTTGAAACCCTACACCCTTACACCCTCAAATCCCTAAACCCTTTGGGTGAATCATCACCTCAGGATGCAGAGCATGTGGGTGCGGGAAGACGAAGGGCTCTTCTCTGTGACTGCGCTTCGCCTGGCCGCCGTTGCAGTGGACAGAAGAGACTCGAACTCCTCTGCAGGAGCTTTACGGGGTTCAGGGCTTTTTAGGGTTCAGGGTTTCAGAGGTTTAGCAGTTTTGGCGTTTGGGGTTTAGGGGTTTAGGGTTTAGGGTTTAGGGGTTTAGAGTTTAGGGGTTGAGGGTTTGGGGTTCAGGTTTTAGGGTTTAAGGCTGAGGGATTAGGCAGTCTCCATTGTCGCTTTGTTTGTCTCGCTGTAATCGAGAATCGTGTAACAGAGCATCCTATAAAGCCACCCAACAAGTATCAATGGAGAGGAAGGGTTGAGGCTTACGGATTTGAAGGTCAATAAGTTTCATTCGGGGATGTAGAGCAGCGGGGGACTCCTGCAGCGTGCTGACCGGATAGGACCTGGGAGGTGGAGACCAGCTGGCTCTGAAAGTAGACATAATCGGAATATAATAGGGCCCTAATGTAATCCTTGTAGTCACTATTACAGGGTGGGGGCCCCTTCTAAGACATGTGGGTGGTTGTCAAAATAGGGGTCCTTTTCTGGGTACCCGAAATGTTAGGTGCCGTACTGTAATAAAGACACAAAAGGGGACCCTAATAATCTATATAAGCTGCCCTTCTTTTGCAGGACCCATAATCCCAACAGCGCTAAAGTACTCAAGAAGATCCACTACCGTAAAGAGGCTTGCCCTGCGGGTCCATTAAAAGGGCCCCTCAAGGGGCTTTTGGTTGATCCAGAGACAGGAGAACAACTACAAAACCGCACAACCTTTTCTGGAAACATCAGGTTCTCAAACGACTATTGCATTGAAGGAGGTCAGCAGAAAACCCGAAACCCTAAAACCCTCAACCCTACAAAAAAAAGTAGGCGAAATCGTCCGGACCAAGGGACGGCAGGCATGCAGTGAGGCTGCCACAGCCTTCCTGCAAAGGAACCGTGGCGTCACTCGACGAAGCGAGGAGGTCACGGCAATTATCCAAGACCTCCACCATGCTTACCTCAGCGAAAAAAGCCATAAACCCTAAATCCCAGTCAGAAGACGGATCCCTAAAACTAGAAGAGATTGCAGGTTTACTGCTTAGGTTCAGGCTTCCCAGGACTACGGCTGGCTGAAGGTTAAGAGGTTGCTTTCGAGGGTATCGAATCTCAGGTCCAAAATGTTGTGCTCTGCGAAAGAGAATCCTAGTCGCTCCTTGACTAAGCCTATGCCGCACAAATATTCAAACATTGAGTCCATAGCCCACTGCCAAGATACCTGCAAAGCTCCGGAGCTATCACACTGTCGGTCGGGCGGGATTCTGAGCAACTCGGCTCCCACCGCTTTCTGCAGCCGTTGCTGCCAGAAGGTCTTGCCTGTACCAGTGGCTCCTGAAGTCTTGCTGGGGTAATTACACCACAATCAGAGCGGTGTGCAGCAAATAGATGATGCTTTCCCCAATAGGCGAACTTGAATCATAAACTACCAAACCCTGCTTGTTTGCAGGTTCTTGCTATAAACCTGAATATGGCATTCATAGGGACCCCACAAAACACCAGGTTTTGGCAGGTTAAGGTAGGTTGGCCCTTCAAATTAAAGCCTCCGAGAAAGATTCGTAGCTAAGATCCTCTCAGGCCCCAATCAGGCAAAATATATACTGCCCCAAAGGTAAAGTTAAAGTCAAGTTAAAGTTTCGTAACCCCTGCTTCAGTTTGAAGGTTTGTTTCGTAGGGGCTTATCGGGGCGGCTTGTTGGCTTCTTATCGGTCCATGCACCGAAATAGTACCCTACAATACCTATAGATAGGGACTATCCGAAACCTGAGTACCTGATTATTAAATTAGGTCCTCTGGACCCTTTGGGTTACTAAGAGCCCTGTATAGAACCCCTGTGGATCCGTTAAAGGAACCCCTATAGTACCCTACCTACTCAGCTACAGTAGACGCCCAAAAGTTGGAAACCGAATAGCCTCAATCCTTAAGAGTAAACTATGGGGGGATCCCAGCACTATTTGGCCTTAATCCGGTTTCCAACTTTATGGGGTTTACTGTACTAAGCCCTTAGGGAAGAAGGACCCGTGGCTCCGTAGGAGATGGCGCAGGACCGAAACTTCGGTGCTTCCTTCGGGACGAGAAGCGAGAGTACCGTCTCCTTGGGAATGATTCGGGCTTACCTTAATGCTAGGGTTTGGGGGGGGTTTTAGGATCTTAGGGTTTAGGGTTGAGGGTCTTAGGCATTTGGGGTTTTAGAGTTTTAGGGTTTTAGGGTTTAGGGTCTAGCATAGCCTGCCCTTCTTTGCTGTAGGTGGTTCTGCGACAAACCCTGTTGGAGAACTTATAAGGGCCCTGCAGTTACAAGACAGTAGGTCTGGGAAGTTTAAGGTAGGGCATGGGCTGTATAACACAGACATCCGTTTAGCTATTTTCCAATTCTTGGGGATGTTTTTGCATCCGCAAGCCCCAGATCGACAGAAAGACCAGCAAAAGCAACTCTGACAGCGGCCGAGCCTCAAAGCAGAACTTGCGGGAGCTAGCCTTCACTTCCAAAGTACCCAAGGGCTCTCCAAAGCGTTGCTTCTCTTGGAGCAGCCTTAATCGCGTGCCATCTAGCGAAGGCAGCGCTGAAGGTAGGACAAGAACCTCATCCTCGTCGATCCGCATCTCTCCAACCTTCCCAAGCTTGGGGGTTAAAATGAGTTTCGGTTGACGGTTTACGGTTTTTGGTTTCAACACGACTGGGTAGAGCTTTTAAAGCCTTCGAAAACTATCAGTACATAAGATCCTCTTAAGCCCAACAAGGGAAAATGCAAAACCTCCCAAGCCCTACCTAAACGACCTACGGATTTCAGGCACTTAGTTGGCAGGTGTGGTGGGGCAGGCCTGTTCAGGCTGCAGGGTGTGATATCAGGGGCCTTAAGAATTAGAATAGGGTTCCTTTAACTTTACAGGGGACGAAAAGGGCTACTATAAGGGAGCTATCAGGGTAGTATGATATAGGGGCCTTAATAATTAGAATGGGATTTCGGGGGCCCATTATACTGAAAATATAACAAGGAACCCACCCCAAAATAGTCTAGGTCATGATTTCGGCCCCTATATTGTTGTCTTTGCTGTTGCCGAGTTTGCGCATGGGGAGGTGTTGAATTGATTGGGTCGGCACTCAATGTGTCTAGGTCAGATTGTGGGTTCCGGGGTTCGGGGTTCATCGTTTTTCAAGTACTTTAGTGATGTGGTTGTGGCCCCTTTGTGTTCCACACCCTTACATACTCCCTATATAGAGCCCATGAAGACAAAGGGCCTAGGGCTCCCTGGTAGAGTCCGCGACTAAGTGTTGAAGCATATGATCTGAAGTGCGGGTGATTGCGTGCAATCCGTAACAGCTCCCTACTTATACGATCATGGGACTTGGTAACCTAGGGCTAGATGTCAGGACAGAAGTAAGAGAAATGATTCGGGCGTAAAAGAACAAAGACTTGCCGTGAGAAATAATCCTCATTGCAGTAAGTGCCATGATCGACACAAGGGTAGTTCCCTGTTTTCGACTGCCTTTAGATCCTAACTCCAACCACTGGACGAAAGAAACTCCTGAACCTTAAACTCTAGTTCCTGAGCCCTCGACCTTGAACCCCAACTCCTAAACCCTGAACCCTGACTCCTATCCCCAAACCTCCAGTCCTAAATTCTAAACCCCGAACCCCAACTCCTAAACCCTAAACCCTGCTTAAAGGATCATGGGACTTAGTAAGTAAGTTTATAAGTACCTTAATTGGGGTTATCAGTATAGTTACCCTAATTATAACCCTAGTTACGAAGTCCCATGATCCTTTAAGTAGACCCTAAACCCTAAACCCCACAGATCCCTTTAAGGAACCCTATAGATCCCTTTAAGAGCCCTTTAAGGACCCTTACTAAGTCCCAACCCTGACACTTCGAATTGCGCCTGCGCCACCTCTTCCGGCAGGGCCTCTGCAAATACTTGGACTCCCGGCTCGCCTCCCTGAAGTCACACGGTTTAGGGTTTCGGGTTACGGTTTTCCTTCAAGGGTTTAGGATTTTGGGGTTTGGGGTTCTATAAGGGATCTATAGGGATTTGGGGTTGTTAAGACAATCGGAGAAAGAAGAAGAAGAAGTAACACCAAAAGAATGCTTTGTTGTTTGAATGCTTGTGCATTCCTTTGACTCCTGACAAAGAGTAAGATTGAGGGATTGGGGCCTTGTGGGTTTAAGGCTTCAGGAGCCTAAGGATTTCTGGGCTCAGGGCTCGGGGCTCAGGGAGCGCTCCCAACTCATCGCGAGAACAGCGCGAGCAGGGATTTTGGTTAAAGCCCCTTGCCATGGTAAATAACCTCATCGTAGTAAGAGCCACGATAGACGTGAGTAGTTCTCTAAACTAGGCTCCCTTATTGGGTCCTCCAGATACTACGACATCCTTAAAGAAGGACCCTAATATGAGAACTGCCAATGTAAGAACAACATGAGATGAGCACCATCAACCTGTCAGCCTTTAGGATTTAAGGCTTCGGCCTAGTGATCTCAGGTGACCGGGTTACAAGGTTTGTCTGTTGGGTCACTGCTTAGGGAGGTGTTTCGTTGCAGGGCCAAAGGATCCTAACATAGTAGAAAGCCAGGTCTCTACTCGTAGGAATTGCTACAAGGTGAGCGCCCTAAGTCGCCCCACCCCTGCAAAAGGCACCCCACCGCAAGGTGACGCGTCGATCGGCGAGGCACCCCAGACCCGCAAAAGGCACCCCAGGCAACGTGAATCCCCAAGGTGACGCGTCTGCGGCGTCACGTTTTGTAACATGCGCAAGGATAGGGAAATGCACCCGTCGCGCAGGGGATGGCTGCAAAAGTCTGTGTGTGGAGGCATGAAACATATCAGAATTACCAAGTAGACGCCCTTCACAGTAACCCGCAGTGTTCACCCCAAAAGCCTCCAAATCATGCAGATGTTCGGTTTGCACGTGTGTTGAGGTGGAGGGAGGTGTGCATCTGAAATCCAAACAGGGTGACCGAGACGCTTTCTGAGAACGAGTGCTTACTATAAACAAGAGGACCAGCCACACCCCGAAAACGACCCACAAGCAACGCGATCTGAAAGCATCACAGCATGTCAGGAGTCAGAACCAGCTGTTCCCCATGTAAACGACAACAAGACCCGATGCGCAAATACTGTATTCACGAAGGTGACGCCCCTAGCGGGATGCCTTTGCTATACATAACATGGCAGCACATCAAAACCAGCCGTTCCACATGTAGACGCTTGATTCCACAAGCACCCGATCGAGACACACATAAGTGATCATCCATAACATCGGAGCACACCAAAACCAGCCAGTCCCAATTCCCAAAGTAGACGCTCAATTGAAAAAAGCGAATGCGCGAGATACACACAAAGTCATAACATCACAGCACATCAAAGCCAGCCGTTCCCCATGTGACGCTCGATTCCGCAAGCAACCGATGGAGCACCCATAACATCTCAGCACATCAAAATGAGCCATTCCCCATGTAGACGCTCGAACAACCAGGCAACCAATGTTCCGAACGCAAACACATTCCGCAACTGGACGCCTCGATTAAAAATGAGACAACAAGACCCGACACATACGCAAATGCTGCATTCACGAAGGTGACGCCCCTAGCGGGACGCCTTTCGCATGCGCGGGACGACTTAGGTCATGCACCCAGTATTATGTTTTGGGTAAGCTTGCAGCATCCAGGTACTGAGGACCCTTTCGGAGGAGATTTTCCGTCGTCCGCCTGAACATGAACTGAATAGAGCTTGGAATCCTGGAACCCAGCCCTAAACGCATAATCCTAATCCTGAACCCCCGTAAACACAAGCCTCAAGAGTGAGAGTGCATAGAATGCTACGAGTATCCTGGGTAACCAAAGGTTAACCCAAAGTCCCTAAACCCTTAAAACCCTAAACCCACAACAGAAATGGTTGTATTGGAAAGTATACCACCCTCAAGACCATAATAAAAATTGTCTGTAATATTCCCTTGGGTTCTATATGAGAAAAAGAAAAAGAGCGTAAGGAGACTATAGCCCTAAGGCTCGAAACGGCCCAAAAGCCTTGCGTATTATGGTCTTTAGGCCCAAAACCGTTGAAATACGAGTCCTTATAGCCTTAGGGTTAAAAAATAGAACATGGTTTTGGTGTTTATTACAGTATATTGATAACAAAGAACCCTAAAGACAAGGTAGGAAATGGCCTCGCCAGACTTGCTGGAAGGGCCAGGATCCGCCAGGATGTTTGCCAGCGAGGTCCGCGCAGCCTTTCTTATGGAAACCCTACTTGGAGGGGCAGGGGACTTCGTAAGTAGTTTACAAGTAGAGTTACAAGTATCTTAAATGGAGTTACCCCAAGTATAACCTTTACTCATAGTCGACTTACAAAGTCCTTGCCCCTCCAAGTAAGCCCTAAGAACCTGCCTTTTTAGGGTTCCTTACTATGATTTCCTTATATAAGTCCGTGAAAAGGTAGGTTATGTGGGGTTAAGGTAGTAGCTAAAGTTAGGTTAGGGCTCTGCAGCTTAAGTTTTTTGGCTTAGGGGTTTAGGGTAGGGCATAGCTTTTCTAAGAAGGGCTGCCTTACATCCATGAGGGCTTTGTATAGAAGGAAGAGCTTGGGGGAAGTAAGTCTACACCTTATGATTGTCGGGTCATTACCGACTGTTTTGCGAAGTTTGCAGCTACAAGTACGGTCTAGACTGGGGCTTAGAATTTGAGGATTTCTTGAAGTTTGGGACTATGCTTCGTACTCAGAGCATGAGGCGTCGGGTGATCACAGTATGGGCTTGGGCGCTTTGGGCAAGCAGAACCATGGCCGCTGCACGCAAAACCATAAACCCTGTTAGCCCTAAAGCTTTACACCCCAAACCCTAAACCCGCAGGCCCTAACGAAACCCCAAAACCTAAACCTTAAACCCTATCCCTAAGGCTCAAAATAGCCCAAAAGCCTTATATAGGATGGTCTTTGGGCCCAAAAGCCTTACTATATGAGTCCTTAGAGCCTTAGGGTATCAGCCCTAAAGCTACTAAACCTCAAACCCCAAGCCCAAAACCCTGACATTGCCCACCTCCAGTCTCGTGGCAGCATCCAGCCGCGAGGGGCCGGATTTCATCGGCCCGATATCCTCAAAGGTTGCCTACTTGGAGGGGCAGGGGACTTCGTAAGTAGGATTTAGGGTTTAGGGACTTAGTAAGTTGGATATATGTAGAATTTTAAGTAGCCTAAATGGAGTTACCCCAACTATAACCGTACTTTTCAACGACTTTCTAAGTCACTTGCCCCTCCAAGTAAACCCTTCCTGGAACCCCAAATAACCTACCAATTCAAGGCTCCTTTTCACGGTTTCCTTATATAAGTTCAGAAAACAGTACGTTGTTTGCGGTTAAGGTGAACCCTAAAAAACGGCGCTTGCTAGCCTTTTCGGCTTAATTAATGGGCTGTGTGTGGCTTGGGGGGTTCCTGTTGATGAATTAACGAAGGCTTTGCAACGGAAAAACAATTTTGGGGTTCAGGGCCATGGGCTAATCGGGATGTCGGAAAGAACTCCATGATCCGGACAGGTTTATCGTTGATTCGTAGGGTTGATCGTGGTTTTCTGGAGGTTTAGGCTGAGGCTTAGGTTTAATTTTTGGTGCTGTACCGACTCCCGGCCACCCGGAGAACATCGGAAGGCCCATGATCTCCAGCAGCATAAGAAAGAGGAACCATATGCACTACTATTGTGGAATTAGGCCCCCAAAAACCACAACGGGCATGGTCTTTTGGGACCTAATTCCATAATGGTAGTATATATGGACCCTCTGGGATAAGAAGAGACAACTTCCCCGCATGAAAGGGCGAGGTTCCACGACCAAGCCTCCCTTGACCTTGGCTGCGTTCGGTGTGGGGTTTAGGGTTTGTTGGGCTTCGGTGTTGAAGGTTCTGCGGCGCAAACTTTTGGGATCTATTGTCGTGAATTCAGTGTTTTGTCGGGTTTTGGCGGGGTTGGAGGGTTCAAACCCTAAACCCTAAACCCCAAACCCCAAACCCTAAACCCTAAACCCTAAACCCAAATAAGGAACCTTCGAGGTAGGGGGACGCGGCGGTCTTAGGGTTTACAGGGAGCTTAGACTTTGAGGGGTCCCACCGCTCCCCCAGGGTTCGTGCACTGCAGGATGAAGATCGACTCATATCCTGCATTTAGCGTTCGCTCTTTCGACGTCCGGCCTTCGCCCGAATAAGCCCTAGAGTTGGCCCTAGCTCCCCTAACCCTCATCCCGAAACCCCTAAGCCTCAAACTCAATACCCTCCGGGTTTAAGATTAGGGAAAACTACCTTGCAAGAAAACCAAAACTGGAAAAGCTCGGCTTTGAACCGCGAAGTTAGAGATCTGCTTTAAGGTTTGCCGGATAAGAGGGTGTTGATGATAAAAGACCTAATTACAATTCAGCCAAGGGTGCTCATATTCAAGCAATGTGTATGATTCTGAATCTCCAAAACATGTACCATGCTACACAACTCACAAAGAAGACGCGTCTTGCTCAGGAGCCTGAACATCGCCAGGCTGGAACCTTGCGACTATGACCCCATAAACCCTACCTACACCCCTAAACCGTAAACCCTAAACTGTAAACCCTCCTAAGCTAAGTCACCGTGGGTGGGGCGGCTGCCGCAGCTGCTGCTGCAGTCGCTTCGTCCATGAAGTCGAACTTTCGGCATCGGTCCATTCCGGCACCAGCCATCTTTCTAGGGTTCCCTTAAAGGAGACCGGAGTTTGGGGTCCCAGAGACTCCAATGTCCCTTAATTGAGGAGTATACGCTAAGTTATAGTAGGATCCCTAATATGATTTAAGGTATATTCCTCAATCAAGGGATAACCCCCAAAATGCTAAGCCACAAGAATCCTACACCCCCAAAACCGGCACTCTCAAGCCCTAAACCTTAAACTGTGGCAACCCGCATCCCACAAACCACCTGAAATGAACGCCCGCAACCCAAAACCAAAGCCCTAAACAGTGATAACATGGGAAGCTGCGTATATCAGCTGCGAGCCAAAAACGATGATGCAAAGCTTGGCCACGATGCATCAAGTTTCGGGTTTGGGCTTTCGGACGTCGGGTTTAAGAGGTTTTAGCAACTATATACTTGGAGGATCATGGGACTTAGTAAGTAAGGTTATAGGTACCTTAATTGGGGTTATAAGTAATTATAAGTATAGTTGCCTTTTTTATAACCCTAGCTATTAAGTCCCATGATCCTTTAAGTAACCATCAGCCCGTGAGTAGTCAGCCCCCGCAGTATGGGAGGTCCAAGAAGGATCTGACTCGGTGCCAACCAACCAACGTGAATCCAGCTGCATGCAAAAGACTTCTCCTCAAATCCCCGCAAATGTTTCGGGCGCAGGGCGTAGGAATGTGGGGTATTTCGGGAATGTGGATTCAAGGGAAATAAGGTGCAATGACCAGGATTGAGGGTTCCAGGCTTCAAGGGGACACGAACCCACGCAACTGCCACACACTTAAGCCCATAAGCTGAAAGAAAAACGTCAGCTGTTCCTGAACTGCCTGAAACTTGAAAGCTAAACCATAAACCCAAGCACAAGTAGCCGAAACACTGTCACCACAACAACACACGTATTGCTCACACACCCGGTGGTGTAAAATCTCCAATCTCCGAATTCCTCGAGACTCTGAAATAGGGGTAGGAACATGTTGCAGTAGGGTCATCGTACTGACAATGCACAGCCCTCGCCAATGTGTTCAGGCCATATAAGCCTGACTAGAACGCTGTGCCAACCCGTCTAGAGCCATGGTGCTGCCCTTAGAGTCTTAGAGGGCGTTATGGAACCCATATAAAGTTCGTATAAAAACTCTTCTACCAAACCCTCCTAGCATGCTTGCCTGAATCCTTAGAGAACCTCCCCATAATTCTCCTCATGTAACACCCTGAATCCCCTGAATCTTACCTATTCCAATCCGAAAAGCTAACAAGACCTAAACCCTAAGCCCTAAATCCCGGGCCGGGTTGCTGCGATGTCGTTGTACCGCCTCGAAAGCTCGGCGCTGAGGAGCGGGCGCTTCCAAGCCTCCCAGCGATGATGGTATATACTACCAGTATCAGTAGCACGATCATCATTACTGTCATACGTACCATGAAATACTACCAGTTTTGCGATGATTATTTCTACCACTGATTGTTAATTACTCAAAGATCATCCGCACAATCATTATTACTGTCACCGTTACTATGGTTATCACTATCAATATTACGATCATGCTCACTGCCTCTTTCGTGTCACTATTACTATCATTACTATCAGACTTGTCGTATTACTACGGTCGTCAGTAGTACTATTGTCATGTTCATTGCTATCACCATAACTATTACAACCATTGCCGCTACGATTGTCACTATAATGCCGGCTACTATCGGTGTTTGCTTCATGGTTACTAACCAAATCGCAAGTAAAATGCCCTGCGTATTGACAGAAAAACGCTTGTTCTTGTCAGTGTTATTGCCATCGTTGTGTCTTGTCGTTGTCGTTGTCGTCGTTGTGGTTGTGGTTGTGGCTGTGGTTGTGGCTATGGCGGTGGCGGGCGTGGCTGCGGCTGAGGCTCTGGCTGTCGCTGTGGTTTTTGTTGCTGCTTGTCGTTTCTCGGCTGCCTGATTTTCATGTCGTATGGGCAGATTCGGTCATTCCATATCTGGGGTCCAGGGCTAGGGAATATAGGGGCTGAGGACTGGGGTTGCGAGGATTAAAGTGTGCCAAAAGGCTCATAACTGGCTAGGGCCGCAGGGAACCCTCGACGGGAAACACGAGTCATCTTCCTTAGGACAAACCCACATCCTAAATCCCAAGCTCTGCAAGCCCACACCTTGCCTCCAAGACCCTAAACACCAAACACGAATCATAAACCCCCAAATTCGAAACCCTAGTCCCGAATCGCACCAATGCCACTGCGACTGAGGGCAGTTCGGGAAGCCGAACCGACGCCACTGCTGTGACCGTCAGCCACAACATCCTCGAAGCCCAGGCAATTAAGCTTCAAGGTGTCCGAATGCAGTATCATAGGGGTTGTAAAACGGTTTCATGAAGGTTCAATACGGGCTTATAGATGTTATCTGACTTTTTGCTATCCAATGATTGGATATGTAATATTAACGAATAAAGCATATAAAGCTGTATATAGCATTCAAGTTTGGCACCAACATTTGCTGTTTCGGGTCTTGACTCTTGGAGTTCAGGCTTGGCTGCTTGAGCTTCAGATCCAGCCCTAAGGGTCCAAGCACCCAATAAATATATATTCTCCCAAGTACACAGGGTTTAGGGTGTAGGGGATAGGGTTTAGGGTTTATATGGGAGTTTCCGAAAAAAAGCAAAAATTCCTTATTTTGGGGGGTGCTTATAATAAGGATCCTACTATTTAGGGTCCAATATTAGGGTCCCCGATATTCGGAAAGCCCCCAATATTCTCCGAAATAATAACCTACATAACTACTATCCGCAACCTGTGTGCCTGCCTTAAACTACCAAACCCTACCTTTTTGTAGGTTCTTATTATAACCCCTAATATGGAATTTATAGGGACCCTACAAAAAAGTAGGTTTTGGTAGGTTAAGGTAGTTATTGGGTCCTTTGGACCCTTAGGGTAGCGGTTTCGGTTTGCCACTTCAGGCTTGGGGTCTAAGCTCAGCGACAGAAACGACCACCAATCCCACATTCGAGCAGCCGCAAGGACCCCAATTTCTGCAGAAGCTTTGAGATTTTGGGGGGGTATATGATACTATATTATATTTTTGGTTACAAGTTCTTTAGACCCGATGTTTGGCAAGCGTCTGCGGCGAGGCATTGCGAAAACTTTGTGTCAGTGTCGCGATGAAGGTGCCTCGCGGGACTTCAGGGCTTCAGGCCCTTAAGTGGTTTAGGGCTTAAGGGTTAAAGGGTTGACGGGGGTTTCGGGGTTCAATGATATAAATCCTGCATTACCCATAATAAGGAATATACCATACTGTAGTTCCCATAGTTTAGGGTCCTTAATAAGGTAATGCAGGATTTATATCATCAACAGTATGAGCGTTCCAGGGACAGGGGCGAGGGTTCGGCCGAAAGAGCTGCAGTGCCTGGGGTTCCTTTGGAGCAGTCATATGGACTTCGACAGCAAAACACGGACTGCGGCGATTCTGCGAGAAAATCATCGCCCAAAGCCCAAACCCAAAATCCTACCTACAGTGGCGCACCCCTAAACCCTGAGCACCCATCCGATTGCGACAAGGGAACGAGAGTGCTCCTCAAAGTTGGCCACACCCAGCTGTGGAGATGACCCTGTCGCCACGATTTACTGGATTCTTGCAACGGACTTCAATTCAGGCTACCATGACAGGGACCTATAGTTTTAGTATAGTTAGAGTTTCCTCAAAATGATAGCTCAAACTAAATCCCTGAAGTTTTAGGCTTGGGGCTTGGGGCTCGGGGTTTAAGGCTTTGAGGTTGTCTGAACAAACATGAACAAACGGTAGTAACTTATGTTTTGTATGCCGCAAAGCCCTATTCTGCGCATTATTTCGAACCCTGCGACGAGTGTCATGGTTCGGGATACTCACTGTAGAGCTTAAGGCTGCGATGCACAGGTTCTCTTGGGACTCTAGGACGGTTTAAGCGCTTTGCAATGAGGCTTGGGAGTCTCGACAGTTTGGAGTTTAGGCCTTGGAGTCCGTTCGGGGGTTTGCAATCTTAGATAGAGGCTTTCAGGGCTTAGAGTGCCCATAGAGTTCCTTCAAGGGCTCCATAAAGGCTCTCGGGTCGAGGGCTGTGGGTGTACTGTAGGGCCCTTAATCATTAGTCTAGGGTCTTGGGATAAATTCTACGATACTTATACTTATAATCAGGAACCCCCAAGCCTAGTGTAGTAGGTACTTATTAAGGCCCCTATTATATTCGGGTTTGGAAGTCAAGGCTTGGGCGCTCTGACTTCAGAAGACCGGAAGAGAAGGCTTCGGGGTGCAGGGCTTGGGCTATGGGTTATGGGTTATGGGCTTAGCGTGGCCCCAGGCTTTAGGGTTTAGGGGTTTAGGGCTTAGGGTTTAAGGTTTAGGGTTTAGAGCTTAACATGGCTCTAGGGTTTAGGGTTGAAGGTAGATAGACGCGGGCTTTGGGATTCAGGGCTCAGCTTGCCGTGCCTGGTGGGTACTGCATGTCCCAAATGCCAAAGCTCAGCACCAGGACATCGGGCCTCAAACCAGGGAAGCCAAGATCGTACTTAAAGGATCATGGGACTTAGTAACTGGGTTATAAATAAGGTAACTATACTTATAGTTACTTATAACCCCAATTAAGGTGCTTATAACCTTACTTACTAAGTCCCATGATCCTCCAAGTACGACTGCGACTCCGACTACCATGAAAGGACGCGGCAAGCACTTCTGTTTCAGTAGCGGCACCAGCAGCAGCAACTGTCTGCTCCTACCACTACCACATGGGCTGCTGCCCAGAGACTCCAATATCCCTTAATAAAGGGATATTGTTGTCTCTGGCTGCTGCTGCTGCGAAACCACTGAACCAAAGTCCTAAACCCATAAACCCCTGAACTCCTTCAGCCCTTCACCCCTTTACCCTTAAACTCGCTAAACCCCCAGAACCCCCCGCAAACCCTAAACTCCTGTCTTCTGGGCACCGTACATCGGCTCCTCGAGAGCAGCAAGGGACGTGAGGTCGAAAGCCGGCTCCCAGGTGAAAGTCTTCAAC